AGCATCAAAGCCAACTTTACATTCATTTCCCACATGTGCAAAGTTGCGATATTGAATTTTGGAATAGTAGAGTCGGTTGCAAAATATCGAAGTCGGCTTTCTAGTAAATTTTTAGCAAATTGCTCCTTTTCTTTTTCATCCAACTTTAAGAATCTATATCTTTCTCATTTGAACTCCATTTTGGACATTATACTTGTTGGAAAGCTTGAGATGTCTACTTTTACATGAACTAATCTTTGAGGCAAAACTCAAACTATAATTTGATTTATTCTTAAATGAACAAACACAGGTCATTTTGCATCAAATGGAACCTTTTCAATTTTCCAATTTTTTCACACCAACACAAAACTCATTAAACTTTTTCACAATAGTTTTATTATCATCAAAATCATCATAGGAGCTCAACAATCTTCCCTTTTTTGATGATTGCAAAACCATAATCAATAAAACATATAAAATCAATGAGTTTAAAATCAAACTCCCCCTACCAATATACATATCATCATAAATTATGCAATTCATATACAATGTGCAATTCATACAACTCTACCCCCCTTTTTATCAACATCAAAAAGGAGTTGAAATACATATATAATCAACTATAGCACAAACAAGTGAAATTTATAATCAAATTAACTTATACTCTCTTTAAACTTGGGCATATCAAAAGCAAGTTTGGAGAGTTCAAGCTCCCCCTAAATTCATCCTTAGACTTCAAAAAGAAATTACATGAATTGACTTGATAAGTACATTGAAAACATATCATGTCAAATTAACTCAAGCTAGAATGTAGAACCATTCCAAAGATATCATTCAAGCAAGCTAGCATGTAAAACCAAAGTAAGCAAAGATATCCCATTCCAAGCAAGTAATCAAAAGTTACATTTCAAGTTAACATGTAGATATATTCCAAGTAAGTATTAAGATCAATAGATTCTTTCTCCCTATTTTATTATACAACAAAAAGTTTGAAAACTACATAAAGAGCAAACAAAAGAGCTCCCCCTTAATAAAAGAACACATGGAAGCATGAATATAACTATGTCATCAAAATCATACCAAGAATATATAATCATCTATGATTTAAGCCATGAAAATCATTAAAGATAAATGGAATAGCACAAATGTAATATGCACTCAAGATAAAGCAATATATATATCTATAATGCTTCTATCATGCTCATAAAGAGTTTGAGATCCATAGGTTTACTTACATTATTGTTAGAGAAATGGAATAACTCATTGGAGAAACTATTGACTCTTCTTTCTACATTTCAAACTTCTTATGCATCTCCTTTGTATGTCCCCTTTGATTGGGGAAGATGTAATTTTTGAGATAATTTCATTTGAGATTCCAAAACATTTAATCTCAAGTTCATCTAGCATTTCTTTGAAGAATTCTTTACAACAAAACTCATTAGTAGTACCAAAAATAATGTTAATGTAATAATTAAGCACAACATATGTATCTCTTACCTTTTTGAGATATGTCACCAATTATCATATTACCTTCATAGGATCTCTCTCTTCAGTAGAATTATTCTCTTTGTTTTTATGCTTGTTGCATATCCTCAATTTTGTTCTTCTCACTTGCTTTACATGAAGGTTGTGTGATGCTATCGCCTTCAATGTCAATTCTTACCCTTGTTGTCCTATAATATCTATATCACAATTTAAGTGGAGTTAGTCTCATTTAATACCACATGAATAGATTCAACGTCTTCATTTTTCATACATGCATCATAACATATGCTAGTGATTATCAAAAAGCTTATGCATTAAGATTAATGATGACTATGTAAACATTTAAATGTATGACACTTAACTTTCACATAGTCAAATATCATCAAAATCATCAATCAAACCAATCATGCCACATCATATAGCTTCAAGATTATATGTAAGTCATTAAAATTACTCAATCAATATAAAGATTCATCAACCATCATCAAAATAGTAGTTATGGCATTGAATGATGTCATGAACTATATATGATAAATAATCAATCTAATCATTCACATATGTCAAACAAGTAAATATGATAAGAGTAATATATATAATAATCAATAAGGTTATATCAACACGAGAAAGGACACATCAAATGATATCATACTCAACAAGCATATGTATCAAAAAATGAGTACACAAACAAATAATTAATAGTCACATTAATGCAATTATACTCAATGAATAAATACAATAAGATAAATGATACCAATTTGAGCACATGACTAGAGCATTAAAAAAAAAAAATTTCTTTATACTTCCACTCCATCTTTCTTGTTAAAGCATAAGTCTTTATTAAGATTAACTTTGCTTTTCTTATGACTTTGCCACCAACCTTACTTACAAAAGAAAATCAAGTTTTGATTTTTGGTACCCAAATTTGTTTGAATCCTTGGGAGTTATTGCTTAGAGTTCCTTTTGGAACCCAAATTTGCCTCACTTTGCCTTGAGCTATTAGTTTCTTCAATATGACCTTTTACTCTATAATAATAAGTCACTTTAGGATTTGAGGATTGACTAGCTCTTATAAAGAAGGTTTTGAAAGTCTTTTTCTTTTTAGAATAATTAAATCCAATACTCTCTTTATCAAAAAACTTCTTTGAGAACGCAAGATAGAATCAAATTTTTCCTTACTAAAAGTGAATTTGGAAATAACATTCTCAAAATCACCAACAAATCCTTATTTTCCTTTTTCAAAGCATTATTAGATTCCTTATCCTTCAAAGATACACTCTCAACATTTAAAGAAGCATTTTCTTTAACTAAAACCTCATTTTGTTTTAAAAGATATTCAATCTCATTTTTTAGAAATGAAATAATCTTACTAAGAGCAAGATTCCCATTCCCTAGTTTCTTGATGTCATTTATAGAACAATCAAGATCTTTTCATAAATCATCATAAGAATACTCAAATGAACTTTCATTAATTGAAATAGAGAAGTTAGAGTTTACTTCCTCATCATTTTTGCTATCCTCTTGAGCCATGATGCAAAGGTTTGCAATGCCATTCTCCAAGGAGTTCTCAGTCTCTGTTGAGCTAGCTTTATCAATACTCCATTTAGCAGTAAAAGCTTTCTTATTCATGCCTTCTTGCCTTTCCTTTCTCCCTTCTTCAATTGGGACAATCATTTCTGTAGTGCCCTTGTTGCATTCATAGCACTTCACATCTCTTTTTCATGAATCTTCTCACTTCTCTAGAGACCAAGGAAGCTATGTGTTCACAATCACTAGCATCATCTTCACTTTCTTCTTTTTGTTTGCTAGTGTTGAATGCAACATTCTTCTTCTTCTCAATTACCTCAACTTCATCATCATTTTGGATATCAATCTCATATGTCATCAAGGATCTAATAAGCTCATCAAGCTTAAGAGTGTTGAGATTTTTAGCTTCTTCAATTATAGTCTTCTTGGCTTCTCAACTCTTAGGTAAGCTTCTAAGAATCTTCCTTGCCAATTCTCTGGTAGGATATCCCTTTCCAAGAGCTTTGAGGTTGGTGACTATGTTATTGAACCTTGTATACATTTCTCCAATGCTTTTCTTTGGCTTGATCTTAAAAAGTCATATATATATATGAGTCTATTAATTTTTTACTCCTTCACTTGATTTGTGCATTCATTAGTTGTCTCCAACATATCCCAAATCTCCTTAGCCATATCACACCTATATATTCTAATGAATTCCATTGGATTAAGAGCACATTAAATGTGCATGTTGATAGCCTTGTTGTTGATTTTGATCTTTTCCAATTTTTCACCATCCCATTTAATTTCAATCTTTGGCACCTCAATTCCCCCAACCTCTTTCATAGGCACATATGGTCCATTCATTGTCATAAGCCATGCCTTGGGTTCATTAGCAAGCATAAAAACCATCATCCTATTCTTCCAATAATTGTAGTTAGAACCATCAAAGAAAGAAGGCTTGGTGGTAGACAAAACTTTAAGTTGTGTAGTAGCTTGAAATTGAGCCATCCCTAATCAACTCCTAGGTGGTTAAACCTTCAATTTGGAGCCCTTGCTCTAATACCAATTGTTGCCTCAAATACTCTAAGAAGGGATGAATTAGAGTCCTAAAAATTTTCTTCTTTCTACAACCATCAAAAGAAAAAAAAAAAAAAAAAGGAGAGTAGAAAATAAGACCTTGCACAATTGATTTTATAGAGGTTTGGCCCAACCACTTAGCACCTAATCCTCTGCCTTGGCTTTACTCAGCAAAGATTTCCTCCACACTTTCCACTAGTGCTTAAGAGTAGCTTAAAGAACCTACCCAATCCTTTTACAATGTGTTTTTCACTTAAACACTCCCCTTTACAATGAACCCCGATAAACCTCACTTGGTTTCTTTCTTGAAGGCTTCACTCACCCTTAAGTATCTTTTCTTGGAGCTTCACTCACTTCCAAGATCACAAAGAAAGGGTAGAATGAGAGATTACAAACGATATAATTTCTCAAAGATTGAATTTGCAAGTGCATGCTCAAACTCCTAAAAAGATTTTGTAAATCTAAGCTCAACTCTTGTTTTTTATCTTCTAATATCTATCTAGAGGCTCTCCAAGATGTTTACTAATCATATTTATAGAGCCAAGGTTGAAACTAGTTGTTTATAGCCATTAGAGTCCATTTAATGCACTGTAGATCAATTGATGTGCGAGAAAAAAATGCTATAAAATTTTATCGTTAACCCGACTCTACCTTTAAAGCCGGCTCTATGTAGCTGGTTGTCAAACATAGAGCCAACTATCTTGGAGTTGAGCATTCTGTTTTTCTTTAAAGCTGGTTGCAAATCTTAAAGTTGGTTTAAGAACTGTAATACCCCAAAATTTCTAGAGCGTTAAAGTGTGAATTAGGGACCTAATTGTGAAGAAATACTATTAATGAACTTAATAGCAAATATTCTCAAAGTTCAGGGACAAAAAAGAAAATAAATTAGGATAAGGATTAAGCTTAGATATTTTTCTTTTCTCCCTCATTTTTCACGCGGGTTTGCTGTCTTCTTCTCAATCCTTCCTCCCGAAAACCCTCATAGGCCACCGACTCTCTACCCCTTGAAAACCCGATGAAATCTTGATGAAATTTCTCTTCTTTTCTTGTTAAATCACAAGATTTGGGGGCTTAGAATCTTCCCTCTTAACCCAGAAAATCCCGAATCTGCTCTGCTCTTCTCCCCTGTCCGTCTGCTGCCATGTGGGTGTGAGGTTTTTGGGCTTTTTCTGGTAAGATTTAGCCATGAATCCCTCTTTTTAACCTTGATTTAGGTTGGGTTTACTTTAATTGCTTTATTCCCTTCCAGTTTCTGGTAGAGCCGTGAGCTTCTTCCCCCAAAATCCCGTCAGCTCCCATGCTCGCCTGGTGTGGGTTCTGTTGGTTGGAAAAAAAAAAGAGAGGAATTCTGGTATGTGCTAGCTTCTCCAAGGCTGAATTTTACCCAATTAGTAGTTGGGATTTATACATGTAGCTGTTGCCTTCTTGTCCGAATTTTCTGTCAAAACAGGGGAAGAATTGGCAGTAAATTAAATGTGTTTTAGGCTTGATTATGTAGAATTTAGCTTGAACTAGCTGCTGTGATGTTTTATGTGAGAAATCCCGTGTGTGTGTGAGTTGTGATTTGCCAAGTTATGCTCTTCCTGTGATGCCGTGAGAAATGGGGAATTTTTGTAGCTTAAGCTATGATTTTAAACTTAGTTTAAGTGTAAATTAGTTTGAATTGGGTTGTTGTGATTTTGGAGAAAAATCCCGTGATTTGCTCTTGTTTTGCTAAATAGGATTAAATAGAATAAAAGTAATAAATATTGCATTTTGGGAATTGGTCGGGAACAATAGAAAAAGGATTAAGTATGTAGTTTTATATGAGTATTAATTTTTGGATGTTTTGAATTAGGTTCTTGATCGTTCTGTCAATTTAGCTCTGAGATCGAGCCTTTGGTTTTAAGCGAGTGAGGTAAGTAAATTTATGGTAATGCCCGCACTGTTTTTAAGAGATGTTTTGACTTGTTTTTGAAGTGGTGGCGGGACTAAACCCGTTTTATGCAAAAGTAAGTATGACTGATTTGAAGTGAAGTTTTATGCTTTTCATTAAATTGAGCATGCCTACTTGAAATTTAATTGATTACCTTGATGATTTGAAAGTGATTAGTAAAGCATGATTTTCTGTTAACTTCTGCCTGTTTTGTCTCCGATACGGTCATGTTATCCTGTTGCCCGCTAGTGGGAGGTCAAACGCTAGCACATGTCGACATGTTCCTGATAGAACCGGTTCATTCCTGTAATCCTACTAGTGGGAGTTAAACACTAGTAATTCCTGTTGCCTGCCAGTGGGAGGTTTAAACACTGGCCATGACCTATAGAGGAGACGTCTATTTCGTGCCCGTACTATATCTGTTTTCGTGATTACACTTGTTGGCATGCTATGAGTTAATTAACGGTTTGACATGAGACGTTTTGTTATTGAACTGAATCTGATTTTACCTTGATGGTTTGTCATTGAATGCTTTTCAAGTGAACTGAATCTGATTTTGTCATTGAGTGATTTGTTATGTTAAATTGGTTTATCTGGCATGCTTAAAAGTTTTACCCAAGGGCTATCCATATTTACTTACTGAGTTTATCTCATAGTTTTTCCTTGTTCACCATTTCAGGAAGCGAAACTGAGGACGGGGAAATCGAGGGGAGTGACGAGTTAGAAGGCTAGTCATTTTGTAAAGTGAATATAGATTCGAGATGTAGATCATGATCTTGTAAATTAAAGTTTAATCGGAGATTTTATAAATTCATTTAGTGGATTGTTAGTTTATAAGAGATTTGATTTGGAGATTTTGAGATTAAGTTATGTTGGACATAGAATTATTTGAGACGATTGATTTGAGTTATTGGATTGTCAGAGGTGATTTGAATAAGTTCCGAGCCTTCTGCATTCGTGGGACTCGTCTCACGGGTGTACGGCGTCTGTCGCGCCTCGAATTTGGGTTTTGGGGCGTGACAAGAACTTTAAGTTTAAAATATTAAAAAATCTTTGAAATTTTTTACTGTTGGGCATTAAATGCTCCATCATAGTCAGTTGTAGCATCAAAGTCAGCTTTGAATCTGTTTCCCATACACATTAAGCTACAATTTTGAATTCTAGAACAATAGAGCCGGCTACAAGACATCTAAGTTGGCTCTTCGATCCATTTTCAACATATTGCTCCTTTGCTTTTCATCCAACTTTGAGAACCCATATCTTTCTCATTCAAACTCTATTTTGGACATTCTTATACTTGTTGGAAAGCTTGAGATGTCTACTTTCACATGAACTAATCTTTGAGGTGAAACTCAAACTATATATAATTCAATTTATTTTTAAATAGACAAAGGTCAGTTTTGATTCAAATGGAGGCTTTTCAATTTTCTAATTTTCTGCACACCAACCCAAAACTCATTGGACTTTTTAATAATAGTTTTGTTATCATCACAATCATCATAGGAACTCAATGGTATATCCCTAATTAATGCATAAATATGTAGTAAAACAATATCTTCAATTATTTAATATGTATATTAAACTAATATATTAATTATTATTTTCCGTTTCATGTATATTAAACTAAAAGAAGAGTAGACACACCTTTTGATTTTTCCCTTCATAAAAAGTTCACTATATAATGAACATATTTAAATCTTTCTCTTGTAAAATATTCTCATTATTATCATTCATTTTCTAATAGGTTAAACCCCTTTTTTAGTACCCCAACTATTGTACAGACCCTTAATTAACTCCCTCAACTCAAAAAATCCTTGATTTGGTCACTATTATTTATCATTTTAACCCTAAATTGGCCCCTCTGTTAAAAATCGCACGACGTGTATTGTTAACTAACAAACGTATAATGATCTATCAAACTATTAAACCCACGTGGAAAGACAGCATAGCAAAGAAATAATGATTTGGCAATAAAAATTTTAAAATTTCTATTTTTTCCTCCTCTTTCCCTTTCTCCTTCCTCTTCCTTTGCTTGCCTTCTTCATCAATCAATTCTTCATCATCATCAAACAACAAAACCCACAAAAACACAGAATTTTTTTTAAATTTTTTGCTGAAGAACCCAGGGGTGCTGGGTTCAAAGGAACTCGGTGCCTGGGTTCAATGAAACCCAATAGGCACGCTTTCTCCTTCCTCTTCCTTGCCTTGCCTTACCTTCTCCATAAATCAATTATTCTCATCATCAAACAACAAAACCAAAAAAAAAAATATATATATATATATTTTTTTTTTCCCCTTGGTTTGAACCCAGCA